TGGGGCCACCCGGTTCAGAGCACATGATTATGGTGTCGGGAATATCCATCGGTGAGTTTGCCTCGCTCGTTCGCGGGCCCCGCCGCCGCTGCCGCCGCCCTCGGCAGCGACGATGTCCAGATGATGAGGCAAGGCGCTTCGACCCCGCAGAAATCAGCCGGGGGGGATCTGGCGCGGGGATAGCGGCGCAATCATGATCTGCGCGATCACCCTCATGATGAGAAGCAGTCGTTGAGCGCCAGGTATATATGCAGTAGCTCTCGCGTGGGCCCGTCCGGCCGGACCCGCCCGCCGTCTTCTAGGCGCGCGAGCTCTCTGTATGCATGCTTTGTGCTTGAGGGGGATTTCCATCGTTGAATGTTCCTCGTTCGTTCGCGGCGCCCCGCCGCCGCTGCCGCCGCCCTCGGCAATGGCGATGTCAAGATGATTTGGCAAGGCGCTTCTTCTACGCAGAGATCAGCAGGGGGGGGGGGATCTGGCGCGGGGAGACAGCGGCACGATCATGGTGATGCTGATGGATGAGGTTGATGCTGGTAATGCTGCTGATGCGTATGTTGATGCTCATGGTGATGATGCTGTTGAATAGAGTGATGATGATGCAGATGTTGATGCTGATGTTGGTGATGATTGTTGTGATGATGGTGGTGGTGATGACGCGGGTGGCGGTCATTGCGATTCTGATGATGAAGGGGGATGAGGAGGAGGATGTTTGCGATGCGGGTGATGGGGGCTATGGTTATGCGGAGGAAGATGAAGATGGGGGTGATGATGATGACGATGTTGATGATGAGGAGGATGCGGGCGTACATGAGTACGACGGTGGTGATGGTGATGCTGCTGCTGAGAATGATGCCGATCATGATGATGCTGATCGTGCTGGTTGTGGTTGAGACGGCGATGTTGGTGATGATTTTGATGAGGATGCGGACGAGGATGATGAGGATGATGATGGTGACGGTGGTGGTGATCGTAGTGATACTGGTCATGACGAAGACGATGATTGTGATGCTGATCGTGATGGTGGTGGTCATAGTGATGATGATACGGTCGATGATGATGATGGCGTAGTGATGATGATGACGGTGATGACGGTGCTTTAACCGATGAGCACGATGATGTTTACGACGGCGATGGCGACGTCGGTGCTGATGAAGATTGTGATGTCGGTGGTGGCGATGGTGATGATGACGAGGGTGGTGATGGTGATGGTGCGGTGGTGGCGGTGTCGATGCTGACGAGGGTGATTATGCTGATGATGCTACTTCTGATGAGTCTGCTGACTAGTTGTATGACTATGATGATCATAGTGGTGATGATGGTGATGTGACGATGCCAGTGCTAATGCTGCTGATGATGATGATGATGCTGTTGGTGGCGATGATGATACTAGCGATGGTGACGGCGATGGCGGCGGCGGCGGCGATGGCGACGGTCGCGGCGAAGGCGAAGGCGACGACGAGGGCGAGGCGGGGTCGGAGGGGGAAGGGGGGGGGGGGGGCGGAGGAGGGGGGGGTGCGACCCCTGGATCCATGAGGCCCCGCGGAGGAGGAGGAGGAGGAAGAGGGCGAGCGCGCGGGGCCTCCCGGGGGGGAGGGAGGGAGGGGCGGAGTCAGGAGTCTGCTATGTTTCTCTCTGACTCCTGGTTGGCCTGCGCGGCCTTGCCTGCCATGCTGCGAAGGCCTTGCAGTCGGCGCCGCCGGCCCTGATGGCGAGCCCCCCTGGGGCCCCCGCAGGCGGCCTCCCCGGGATCCGCTGGGCGGCGTTCCGCCCCGCGCCCCCCCCCCCTCCCCCTCGCGTCGCGCGCAGCGGTCACAACGGGCGGCGATAAAGACGCCCTCATCTTCCGTGGGACATTTTGGGGCCGACGACGACGACCGCGACCGCGGCCGCGACCGCGACCGCGACCGCCGCGACGACGGCGACGACGGCGTCTCACACGCACGCGCGCCGAGGGGTCGGCGGATTCGGCTTCGTACATTTCACATCCGCAGCAATTTTGGCACGAGCGAATTTGGCCCGAGGTTTCACGCGCCCTCGCGCCCCCAGGAAGCGGGGCCGCACTTTCGCAGCGCGCGGCAGTCGCGGCGCGCAAATGTTGCGCCCATGGCGTCGCCTCGATTTTCGAGGCGGGGGCGTCAAGAGGGCATGCGGGGAGGCTGGTGGCCACTTGGCAGCCCAGCGCAACTCTGTTCAAGGTGGGGGCGCGCAGGTGGCCCCCCCGTCAGCCGCGCCGGCGGGGGGGGCGCCGCCTCGGGGCAAGAGTCCAGGGTCGAGGAGCTGACCCCGCAAGACGCCGCGGTGATCGACCCCTCGCAGTCGGCGGCCGAGATCAGGGGCCTCGAGGCCAGTTTGGCAGCAGCCCCGCAGGGAACGGAGTCTGCCGATGCTCGCTCCGGCGAGAAGGCTGCCCCCCAGGCGGCGCGCAGCAAGGTGGTCATGTCGACGCCGGTCGGCGCGCAGCTGGGCGCGCGCCGCGGTGCTCTGGGGCGCAACGGCAAGCGCGTTGCTTTCATCGACGAGTTCGCGATCTAGCTCTCGCGGTTGCAAGCGGCAGTCGCGCAGAAGCAGGGGCGGTTGCAGCGGGGGTCGGCCGACCTGCTGCGGGGCAACACCAAGTGGCCCAACAGCGTCGCGGCCACGCAGAATGCTCTGGCCGACGCTTTGCAGGAGGTGTCGTCTGGAGCTGTGGAATTGGCCCACGTTGCAAAGTCCCAGAATTTGATGGCGCGCTTCCTCCCTGGCGCATCGGAGCTGACCACGCGCGCGCAGGCCTCGACCGCGCGCGCGCAGGCCTCCACTCTTCCAGCTCCCCAATTGCAGGCTCAGGCGATGAATCCCCCTGCGCGTGGAACTCCGCCGGCGGGGGCCTCGGAGGCGGCGATGGAGGCCGACGCCGAGATTCCGGCGTTCCCCGGGCAGGTATCGTGCACCCACCGCGCTGCGTTGAGCAAGACGCCATCTGCGGGCGCCCCTTGCGACTTCCAGCAGCATCTGCTGGGTCATCGACAGGGCGACCGCGAGCGCGGCACCGATGCTGCAATGGGCCCCGGTGAGGCGGTTTTCGTCAGTCCAGTTTCGCGCAGCAGCTCCGCATTTTAACTGGAGTGCGCTTGGCCAGGGTCATGGTCAGACGTTGCGCGCCCTGGGGGTCAGAGCAGACGCATCCAATTCGCCGCCGCGTTATTTGACGCGGCCGCCGGCCCTTGCGTCGATGCTTTCTTCCATCCTTGAGTCCTCCCCCTCCCTGCCTTCTGCCCCCGCCCCTGCGGAGATTTCTAGGCCGCGCGCCTCCGCGACGGCTCTCCCAGAGCAGTTGCGAGGCCTCGCGGGCTCGATCGCGCGGCGGGCCGCTGCCCGACAGCGATCGAATTCACTGCCCGATGGCATCGATGCGCTTGCACGCGCGTGAACGATGACTGCGCGGGCCCCGCCGGCAACGCGCGGATCGAAGCGCGCCTGGGCCGCATCAGGCATGCAGCTTCTGCGTTGCCCAAGAGCGTTCTCCCTTCTGCAACTTGTGCAGTTTCCAATCGGGGGGTCTGGGGCACGGGCGGCGCGTCGCGCATCCCTCCGGGCAACGGCCGTGGGCGGGGGCAGCGGGGGGATTTTGAGAATAGGGCTGGCTGCCTTCCGCGGCCGCGCAAGGCCTCCGGCGCGCTGCCCCGCGGCCAGAATCGGCGCGCCACCCTTCCTGGGGCCCCTTCCTCCACCCGACGCCGCTGCTGAGCCCCCCCCCCCCCCCCCCCCCTCAGAGTCGCAACTGCCGGCGCGCGTGCTCTGAATCCTTGGAAAGAAGACCGATCCCACAGCCAGATAGGGGGGTGATGCGCGGGGGCATGGCCGTGTTGCTTCGCGACTTGGCTTCGGAGGCCGCGATGCACGTCGTCGCCCTCCTGGGGGGCAGAGCCAGGCGCAGCGTTGTTCAACGCGCGCCTCATTGCGCGTCGCGCGTCGCGGTGGCTTGCGCGACGGGCGACCTTGGCGCGCGCAAGTATGGGCCCATGCATCCCTGACAGTAGGGACGACAGCCTCGTATCGCGTCGGGTCTTGGCTCAAGCCTGCTGTCGCCCCCAGCGCCGCTCTGACTATGCTGGACTGGGCGTACTTGGGGTCGATTGAAGCCCCGCTCACCTCGACTGTCTCGGTGGCTTCCAGCTCGTACTGCTGGGGCACGAGCCAGCCTTGCGCGTGGCTGCTGGTCGGCGGCCTCACCATCATGCTCTTCATCCTGGTCGCGGTGTGCCTCGCGGGCTGCTGCAGTCTCTGTGGGTTTGCCGCTGGTTTTTCGCGGCCGCCCGCGTGGGGCCTCGGGCCCTGCTCCCCGCTGCTGAGGCGGCGGCCGCCGCGGGGGACGCAGCCGCCGCGCTGGCGCGCGTCTCGACCGCGGCTGCGAGGCGGCGCCTTCAAGGGTACGCCGACGTGAGCGGGCAGTGAATGCCCGGGGCCAGCGATGGCAGCCGCTACGTTGCAGGTCAGCGAATTGACGCGAGCCACTTCGGGAGCGGTGGAACCATGGCGCCTCAGACTCACTTCAAAGCATTGCGAGGCCGTTCCTGTGATGGCACGGGCCGAGGGTATTATCATGATGGCGGTCCCCAAGGCGATGAAATCTCCTGGTCAGTCGGGCCGCGCTCGCGCGGCGGGCCCTCGGGCGCTGGCGGGGCCCTGCTTGCTCACGACGGTGCCGCTCGACGCCGAAGGGGGCTCGCCAACAGAGGTCGAGGTCTACTTGGTCGACCTCGCGCTGAAGGTGCTGGAGCAGCTGCAGCCCCTGGCGGACGCGGGCGACGAGGAGGAGGATCTGGAGGTCATCCGCTTCGACGCGTCGGAGGCCTTGCCCGAAGCGACGGCTCTGGTGGAGAGGGCCGAGGAGTAGTTGCAGACGGCGGGACTCGCGCCCCGAATCAGCTACTACACAGCTTCGGAAGGGGGGGCCTCTCGCGGAGCCGAACGCCAGCAGGTCGCCCCAGGCCTCGCCCTCAGGGACGCTGCCGACCGAGGAGCTGTCTGCCCTGATCGCCTCCACGGTGGCCGCCGCCCTCGCCCCCGTCACGGAGCGGCTCGGCGTTCTGGAGAGAAGGCCGATAGGCGCCGCCGCAGCCGCTGGACCTCCGCCCCCGCGGGCTGCGGGGGCCACGCCGGCCCTGGCGCCCCTGGCAGAGGCGACGGCTCCAGCGGGGGCCGCGGCGAGGCGCCTTCTCGCCGCCGCGCCGAAACGCCTGGGAGAGCTGGGGCCCAGCGCCTTTCGGCCACCGCCGCCCCCTCCGGCGCCAATCGACGTCAACGCCGAGGACATGAACGACACCCAGGCGCAGCTCTTGCTCCATGCCCAGGCGCTTGTGAGACTGATGGGGAGCCACGGCGCTGGCCCGAGCGGGGACGTGGCGGGCCCCCCGGGGGAAGGGGCAGGCGCCGACGTGCTGGGCGACCTGGCGCGCTTCTCGTCGAGCTCCGTCGGCGTGCGGGGCTCGGCCAACCGACTCAGGCTCCAGCGAGCGCTCGAGGCGCAGCCTGGGGCGCTGTCGCTGGCGGTGATCCGCAACGTGGCGAGGCGCCTGGGCCCCCTTCACGCCCCAGGGGGGGTGCCCGATGCGCTGGAGTACTGGGGGCGCTTCGGGGCCTTCGCCGACAACATCGCAGGTCGGCCCGCGGCGTACCAGGCCACGTTGACGGCCATCGCGCTGAATCACCTGCTGCCCGGGGAGTACGACCAGGCCACGGACGTCGTGGCCCTGACGATGGTCGCGCAGGAACAGGCCACGCTGGGCCACGAGCGGTGGACCACAGCCTGGCTGCTGACCTTGCAGGAGGACCCCCCGTCCGCCATGCTCAGCCGCCGGACCGAGCAGGCCCCGCTGCGCGGCTTCTCGGCCCTTGCCGATCCCGGGTGGACGACGGTGGCCCTAGCCTACCTGAAGGAGCTCGACGTGCTCTCCAACCACGAGCCGCAACCGCGCGCCCCCCCGCCCGCAACGGCCTGGGGCCAAGCAGGCTGCCGAGGCGGAGGACGGAAGGCATCGCCGCCCTCCGAGGCGGCCGAAGGCGAAGGGGGAGTGACGACCCCTTTCCACTGGTGCAGGGTGCCCACCAGGCGGGCCCTCCGCTCCGCGTCGGCTGTTCTGTTTCGCGGTGCTTGAAGGCCGCGCTTTGCGCCGAGCGCGAGGCTGGGCTGAGCCTCGCTACCGCGCTCTTTCCGCTGCCGCTGCCTCACAAAGAGCGGGAGTCGCAGCGGCTTGCCCCCCAGGTCTCGCCACGGGCGCCGCCGAGCGTGCTGGCAAGGGGCGAGGGCCCGCGCTTGCAACGTCATCGCGATGGCCCTGATCTTCATGCACAGCAACAGGCCGCAGTACCCCTCCAGGCGGGACCTCGGGAGACAGTTCTCCTCCAGCCAGCGGCTTATCGTCAAGCGGATCGAGCTGTTCCTCAGTGCGTGGGGCCGCGCTGCTGTTTCTTCAGACCTGCAGCGTGGCCGACAGGGATTTGCAATTCTCGAGGAGATCGCCCACCTGGCAGGGGCCAGCGGTGACCTCTTGCATGGCTTGGACCCCATACCGCCCGGTGCCGCTGCCTGCTGTGCGCGCCAGGCCTGCAAGCTCGGTAGTGGGACCCCTGGACCCCTCGCGATTGCGGTTCTCAGAGGGCCTCGCACGCTCGGGCGCCCAGGACTTCGTGCCGCCCGAGCTGTGGCTGCCCTCCGTCGAGCCGCGCTGCCTGCGCACGTGGGCGCCTTCGCCTTCCTCGTGGTCCTGGCTTTCGGCGCAGACGGTGAAGACGGAGGCCGACTTGCAGCTGCAGCGCGCGTGGGACGCCGCGGGCCCCCTGCGCCTCGCCCGCGCGGACGCCCCCGCCCACGCGGTGAGCCAGGTCGGCAACGTCTTCAAGGACGCGGATCGCGACAGGCAGATCTTCGACCGCCGCGGGCCGAACTGGCTCGAAGGACGGCTTGCCGATGGCCCCATCGCAAGGGCTTGCCGCGGGCCCGCGCCTTGCCGACCTCCACGTGACGAGGGGGTCGAGCACGCCGCGGGCGTCGGCGCTGGATCGGAAGGACTTCTACCACCAGTTCGCTGTCAGCGACGCGCGGGCGTCGACGAACGTCTGCGGCCTTGCCCGCGATCTGCGAGCCTACGCGGACTTCCCCTCCGACCCCGCGAAGGCGCTGGAGGAGCGGGAGGAGGCCGCTGGGCGAGGCGGCGTGCCGGCGTCAGGCGGCGCACCAGGATGCCGCCCGCGCGGCCCAGCCCCGCGCGTCCGGGGGTGCTTCGCCACTCCCCCCATGGGCGACCATGCAGCGGTGGACCTGGCCCAGGGCGCCCACGGCGAGCTTCTCCGTCGAGGAGGCTGCCTTGCCGACTCGGATACGATCCGCGGGATGGAGCCTGTCCCCGACGGCCCCGTGGTGCAGGGGCTCTGCATTGACGACTACTTCGTGGTGCAGCGGGCCCCCGTGCACGACGCTCGCTCCGAAGCCGGGGCGGGCGCGGCGCTGCTGGCCGCTGCCCGCCAGGCTCACGCCCGCGAGGAGCTGCCCGAGTCGACCTCGAAGGTGGTGGATCAGGAGCTACTGGCGACGCTGGTGGGCGCCGAGGTCGATGGCAGGCGGGGGCAGGCTCAGCGAGGGCTCGTCACCGTGGGAGCCCCGCTGTAGCGCCGCCTCGCCCTCTCGGCGCTGAGCTTCGCATCGGCTCGCCTGAAGGCCGCGAGCGGGCGCTTGCTGGCCACCTTGGCCTCCTCGTGGATTGCGGTCTTCGCCTACCGGAGGCCCCTCATGGTGGTGCTGGACCGCATCTTCAAAGTACCAGGCGTGGCCGAGGCGGACTTCAAGACGCGGAAGGCAGAGGCCGCCGCTAAGCTGGGGGCCGTTTACGGCCTGTCGAAGCACGTGAGGGACGAGCTCGTGCTGGCCTCCGTCCTCGCTCCGATGGCGGTCACCGACATCTCCGGCCCCTACGGCGACAGGATCTACGCCATGGATGCGTCCCCGTCGAAGGGGGCTGTGGTGAGCACTCCCGCTCCCGCCGACCTGGTCGCGCACCTCTGGCGATGCGGGGAGCGGCGCGGGGGTACTCCCGCCTCGAGTCGGCACCGAGGGTAGCCTTGAGGGAGATCGGCCAGCTTGACGCCAGCGCCGAGTCGGACAACTTTGAGGGGGTCCTCGACGAGCCCGGTTGCCTGGACCACCCTTCGCGGCCCTTCGCCCTGTTCTACGAGTTCCTGGAGATCGGGGGCGGCAGGAGCGGAGTTGCCCAGGAGGCGGTCAAGCTTGGCCTGGACTGCGGGCCCGTCCTGGATTTGAGCTACAGCGTCTGGTACGACCTCCGCGACCTGCGGCTCCTGGAGTGGATCCTCTGGCTCATCTGGTCGCGGCGGGTTCTCTTCGTGATGGTCGAGCCTCCGCCGTCGAGCTTCTCCGATGCCCGCAGGCCAGGGGAGCGGTCTGGGGCGGCGCCCGAGGGCTTCGACCGCCTCGACCCCGCGGTGCGCCTCGGCAACACCCTGGCGTTCCGCTGCCTTGCGCTGCTGCTGGCAGCGGACCTCGCGGGACTGGCGGGGCTCGTGGGCATCCCGAGGCGGCCCGGGATGCGGCAGCTCGCGGCCTGGCGACGCCTGCGAGCGCGGCCGGTTTCTCGGAGAGCTGGCTCGCCTCCTGCGCCTTCGGGTCCGCCTTCAAGAAGGAGCTTGCGTTCATAGGCGCGTGGGTCGAGCTGACTACGCTTCGCCGTCGGTGCTGTGGAGGTCACGTCCACCCGCCCGCCATGAAGGCGAACGCGGCGGAGCCGGCCCTCTTCCCGAGCGGCGCGGCGGCGGCTCTGGCCACTGTCGCCAGGGCGGCGGTCCGCAGGCTCCAACTCGACGACGAGGGGCAGTGCACCTCGAACCCAGGGGCCGAGCAGCTGATGATGAACGAGATCCTCTTCACCAGCCGCTGGGAGGTGGGCCGCAGCTGGCGCTGGAAGCGGCCCGCTCACATCAACCTCTTGGAGTCTGGCGTCGCGAAGAACTGGCTGGAAGGCCTGGCGCGGGAAGAGGGGGTCGCCGGGTCTTCGGGATCCTTGACTCCCGCGTCGCGATGTGCTCTACAGCAAAGGGCCGATCACCTTCGGCCGCTCCTCAGCGGAGTCTCGGGCAGACTGGTGCGATCACAGTGGGAGGAGGCCTGTGCCCTGGCTTTGGGTTCCCTCCCTCGAGGTTCAACCCCTCCGACGCGCCGACGAGGGAGAGGGGCTTGCCGCGCCAGGATCGTGGGAGGCAGCTTCGCGGGTGCCCGCGGCCCCGCTCCGTTGGCGGCCCGGTGGCGCTTCGTCTTCGGGAAGGCGCCCGCGCTGCTGCAGGCGCCCCAGAGCCGCAGCCGCCTGGGCGCGGTGACAGCGCGCCTACCGGCTCCTCTTCGGGCGTCGGCCGCGGAGAGCGGGCCAGGCGCCATCGGCGCGGGCGCGGGGCCTTCTTCGACCAGAGCGTCTTCGGCGGCTTCCCGGGGGAGGGCTGGCGCGCGGGCCTCGTGGCGCGCGCGGTGCTGATCTTCTGCTGGGGGCGCGGGCGCGTGAGGCCGCCTCGCCCGCTGGCGCGCCGGGCGGCGGCCCGGCCTCTGCCCGGGCAGGGGGCGCGACCTTGGCGGGCCTGCGGGCTGGGCCCCGAGCAGCCTCCACTGGCGGGCCTCCACCTGCTCGCGGCGACCTCGCCCGCGCGGCCGCCCGCCCCGCACCGCTGCCGAGGGGGCGGCCCATCGGAGAGCGGACCCGCGGGCGGAGGTTCGTCTACTTGCAGTGGCTCGACAGCTGGCCCCAAGGGCGCGGCTACAACCTGGCCGACCTCCTCGAGGCGAAGGGGCCCGACGTCTACCTGATGCACACGTTGCTGGAGGAGTGCGGCCACATCCTCTGGCGCTCGGGGACCGCCTACTACAAGCTGTCCGAGACGATCAACGCGGTCTCGGGGGTCCGCGGGGAGCTTCGCCGCTCCCTCGGAAGAGCGTGGGACGTACGTGGCCTACAGCTGGCTGGATCATGAGCCAGGAGGCCAGCATGTAGCGATGCCCGGGGCCGTGCTGAGGGCCCTCGTCGCGACCGCGCTCCTGTGGGGCTGGCCTCGCGTGGGGGCCCTGCTGGCCGCGGGCTGGCGCGGCATGCTGAAGCCCGTGGAGTTCTTGAGTGCTGAGAGGGGCGATCTGATTTGCCCTGCAGACGTTCTGCATGCTGTCGCCCACCTGCGCTGGTCCATTCGAGAGCCAAAGACCAAGCGGCTCGGGCCCAGGGCGCAGTCGGCTCGAATCGACGATTTGCAAGTCATTCAGCTCCTCTCTGCCGTTTTCGCTCGCCTCCCTCCCTCTGCTCGCCTCTGGCCGCTCGGGCAGGGCGGTTTCAGACGTAGGTTCACTGCCCTCTGTCGAGCTCTTGGCCTGCCCACGGGAAAAGGAGGCGGCCTCGATTTGGGGGCGCTCAGGGCGGGCGGCGCTACTGTTCTTTTTGAAGCGACGGAGGGCGGGGAACTCGTTCAGTCTCGGGGTAGGTGGCTCCAGACCCGTACGATGATGATTTACATAGAGTAAATCACTGCCGCCAGTTTCGTCTCGCACTTAGTGCCGAGGGTCCGTGCGGACCTCCTTGAAGTGTCTCTCACTGGCCCTAGAGTGCTTGAGCTGGCCACTGCCTGGGCGACCCAGGACACCCCCCCAGGACTGTGGCCAGGCCTCTTCCAGGACGCTTCTAAGTAGTATAGTCTACTTCGTCTGGGTGTCTTCCAACATGTTTTGGACCCGTGACCCACCCAGGATGCTCTCGGATTTTTTTTGGGGGGGGCGCCCGGGGCCGGCCACGCAAAAACTTCAGAAAATGTGACACCGACCCCCCCCCCCTCGGTGTACTGGGGCCCCCCCCGGTGCACCGAGGGGGGGGGGCTCGGTGTCCCATTTTCTGGGTTTTCGGTGGTCTCCCGGGACCCTCTCGGCCTCTCTTCTGGGTCCTCCTTGGGGCGGGCCGGGCCTGCCTCATCAGTGCTTGGCCATTTTGGCTGGTGGTGTACCTTCGTGGTGGTACATCGTTAATCCTTTCATTATCTCTCCGCGAGGCTCTCGAGATCGGAGTTTGGGATTTCGGGCATAGCCTGGTTGTCGCCGCGAGGGCCAGTGTCGCGCTTGTAGATAGTAAGACTGCCCCTGCCGCTTCCCCCAGGCTGCGCTCGAGAGGCTGAGAACGATGCTTGAATTTCTGAGCTCGGCGCGAGCCAAAAAGCAAGAGTTCCTGACAGTAGGGGCGACAGCCTTCTATCGCGTCGGGTCTTGGCTCAAGCCTGCCCGCCCTTTTAATCCCGCCCTGCTGTGAGCCCGGGGCATAGCCTGGTTGCCGCCGCGAGGGCAAGTGTCGCGCTTGTAGATAATATGACTGTCCCTGCCGCTTCCCCCAGGCTGCGCTCGAGAGGCTGAGAACGATGCTTGAATTTCTGAGCTCGGCGCGAGTCAGAAAGCAAGAGTCCATGGTTTGGGCTCGCGATGCCTATGCACGGTACATCCGCGCCTCAGCTGCGTTGCTGGGTTTTGTCGCGCCCTCCGCCGCCTGCTGCGCGCAGCACCCTGGCGCGCGCCGCGCCGGGGCGCCTCGCGGACCCAGAAAGCTTAATATTGGGGGAATCGTGGCAATGTTGTTGCCCATATTTTGCCCCGCTGCCCTTATGCGCCGTTCTTGGATGCGCGCGGGCGCGAAAGCTCGAGTCGGCAGCGGCCGCGGCCGTCGCTTTGGTCTTCGCGCACTTCAGCGTGAAGATTGCAGCGGCAGCCCATTGAGACGGCGCGTTCGGTCCACCCATATGTTCGCCACGTCGACGTTCTAGACCATGGTTGGACCTGGCGGAGCGCGCGTGGCGCCGCTCGTCGCACTCTTCGCATGCACAGATAGTCGCACGCACGATTTTGCCACGCGTGCGCGCATTGCTGAAGATGTGCCACTCTCGCCGGATGAGATTGTCGATCATCGCACGCTTGTGGCCAATTTCTCTGCCCCCTGGGGGCGGGGGCCAGGAAATCGCCAAAGAGAACCGACCTTTCGCTGCGAACTGGATTCGGCTCCATGACCCGAGAGCGCGCAATGCATTTCAGTGTCGTATATCTTGCGTGCCTGGCCGCAGCGGCCTCGACGTTGACCAGCATCTTGTGCAGCTGGAACAAGTCAAGCGTGATTCGGCACTCCTTGTTTCTGGACCCCCCAAGCCCCAACCCCAGAAGACGTGGCTCTCGGCCGCGACGTGGGGCGTCGTCCAGCAACTGGTGCCGACGCAGAGAATGCCCCATGAGGTTCACGAGTATCGCAAAAGGATTGGTTTGCGTCTTGCGTATAGCGCGCTCGCGCCCGCATTTCCGCGCACTTCCCCAGCGCGCCCGAATGCGCTCTTGCTGGTGGCTTGCCCAGAGCAGAGTGCGAGAGTTCCGCCAGCAGTCGCATCATTGTCGCGCTTTCATTGCTCGTCTTCAAACATGCATTCGATTGCTGAAGTGCGCTAATTTAGTCCCTCGTTCGCATCGATCGGCTGCGCGCGTTCCGCGATCTCGTTTGGAGGATCGAGTGCGCCGCGCGCAATAACGAACCAGTGAATATGCATCGCGCCCTCCGACGCGCGAAAGGAGACGGCGCCCCCCCCCCCCCGGCGACCGTGAAAAATGAAGACGGTAAGCTCGAACACAACGAAGTGGAACGGCATTCGCGATGGTTGCGCCATGTTATTCTGCGTTCCGAAAGCAGGTCGTTAGTAAGAATGAATTTTCTAGCGCCCCGTCCTCGGTTTTCCCCGTCCTGGTTGACGACGGCCCCCCCTGCCCACCCTTTCCTCCACTCTCGCGCCCTTCGGTGTCCCGCGCAGGGGCAATGGGGTCGGCGGAGACAGGGCCGCCGCAGAGCTGCTGCAAGCGGGGGCTCGGCCTTTGCCGCCCAGAGCGATCAACTGAACAACGGGGTCGCTGAGGCCGAGCGTTGGCCCGTCGAGCGGGCGGGGGCTCGGGCGCAAGGCTCTTGGAAAATGATGGCGATCGAGGCGCGCGCGACAATTGAGGGCGCAGGTATTTCGCGCCCCATGCGAGCAGGGGCCTTCGCTGTCAGTTGAGAAGCGAGATAGAGCCGACGTGTAAGGAGCCAGCATGGCGCCGCCCATGGGAGGGGCGCGGACTTGCTTCACCATCTCATTCGCGCGGTTATCGATCTTCGATTTATTCCCCGATCGAGTCGAGGCATTTGGCCAGGTTTTGCAAGAGTTGGCGGTCGGCGTCCATGACGCCCTTGACCCGTTGCAGCATTTGCGAGGTCTCATCGCGGATGTCGACGCTGCTACGTGGCTTGCGAATTACATGCGAAACGACGGTGATTTGTTCCAGCAGTGGGGCGTGATACGTCTGATAGCGACGTACCATGTTTAATCTGAAATTCTTGTTGATGTTGCCTGTCAACCTGATCTTGGGCGCCCCCGGGATCGCTTGCCAGAGAGAGGAACCCATGCCATGATTGTGTTCGGCCAAGACAAATCGTCTCGAAAAGCACGAGCCGCCACTGCATTCTGTCACTAACTTACAACCAGTCAGAAACATTATGCTGAGAAAACGCGCTTCGAAACCGATGTTTGCAACGTCTGCCGTCGTCTTCCCAATCTTGTCCTGGCCGCTTCCACAAACCCACGTCTTTGCGCAGCATTGCGGATCTCGCGGCTGTAATCCTCATGCGCTGTTGCTGCGCCAGCGTGCACATGGCTGGACCATGCGCGGGTGTAGGTGAGACCGCGCTGTCGACAAGACGGAGCCGCAACTTGACAGACCTGTTCTTGTTGGTGAGAACCGCTCGGTTCGCGCGGTACTGGGCCCGCGCGCACTCCATGATGTAGACAATATTGATGTTTGATCTATCCAACATGTTCCCGGGCAACTTCCGCCCCAAATACGCGTGCATGTCCGTGCCGAGCACTATGGGTAGACTCTGCTCACCGAAAGGCGCCGCCAGAGCATGCGCGGTCATTGAGTACCCAGTGTCGCTCGTGAACACCTTGGTTTTGCTTGCATTCAGCGCCGGGCCGCACCTCGACAGCTCTTCGCACAATACCTTCAGCATGAACATTGCCTCGCTAGCAGTCGTGGCGTACAGCTATACGTCATCCGCGTACCGTATGTTGGTCACTTGTTCCGGCCCTCCTACGTCGATGCCGCTCCCGCTAACTCGGTCTTTGAATCGCCTCACGGCGAGTTCTAAGCCACTGTTGAATGAGGGCGACGACAGCACGTCTCCACCCGTTTGACGCTTCCGCGTTGGTTGTGATATCTATATGATGGCAGCCGAATGTAGTCCGAGGGCACGCCCTGTTAGTCGAACGCGTTGAAAATCAGCGCGTGCTCGACGCGGTCAAAGGCATTGGTCAAGCCGAGGCTAACGATCCACAGCGTTCGCCCCTACTCGCACGATTTGCCACATCAGCTGATCTTCCTGGGCGAAAAACCGCATTGATCTGGACATTGCTGTGCCTCGAGCTGTGGTTGAAGACGTTGGAAAAGTACACGTGCAAACATCTTGCACGTCATGCGCAGAATCGCTATGGGTCGCCAGATTTTGGCGTCACGTCTGTTGCCACCCTTGGGGGGCACGACAAAAAGAGTTTCCTGCCAGTCCGGGTGAACGACTCATGTGCGCAGCATGGAGTTCAAGCACCCCAGCATCGATTGAAGCAGGCCGGCCCAGCTGAATCGGGACATCTGCCTCGACGCATCTTCCGGAGTGCGAAGCGCAACTCACGCATGGATAACAAGGGGACGTCGCCCGGGCCTCGGCTGCACATCTCGTCGAACTATCTTTCCTCTCTTCTGGCAGGTCCGTATTCAGAATTTCGTTCAAGGACGCCATGAACTCATCGTTGTCGACTGGGCAGATTACACCAAGGGCCCCGGTTCTCCTGCGGCGATTCGCCCGAAGTTTTCGCCAGCAAGCTGGGGTGGAGAACGGTGCGTCCTCGGTGCGACCATGTTTAACTGTGGTCATGCTGTTCCGCTGCACGTTTTGCAGGCGAGATGTTGTTCCGATTGCGTTGTCCCCGGGCCCGACGCGGGCGTCGACGCGCCCAGCTCAGGCGGAGACTGCGGACGTCATCCAAGCCGTTTTTGTTGACGACGCAGCAGTCACGCTGATAGCTGAGTCCCCTGCTCTGCTCGATCGTGCCATTCGCATCGCTTTGTGCCCTGGCAAAAGCGAGTGCCTGCTCAGGTACCGCGGGCGGAATGCCACGAAAATGTGGGCTAACCACAGGCGCGGATATGGATAGCACATA